CTGTAGAGAAATTGAATGGACTTGAAAAAGATCAATTGAGTAAAGTAGTTGAGCATTTTAATTTCGAGGTAGGGGAAATCAAAAATATAAAATTAAAAACTCTTCGTTATCTTGTAAAAGAGAAATTAGTAGAGAGAATGATTTTAACTGTAGATACACAATCTGAAGAAGCGTTGTCACCAGAAAGTACTTCAACTCCACTTGTTATGACGGGAGTACAGAGCGGGTTAACTTTTGAGCAACAGCTAGAAATCTTAAATCTGCAGAGTAAGGAGCGATAATTCGATAGACAGCTTGAATTAGAAAAAATGCGGGTTCAAGAACTTGAGCGTGTACGGCAATTTGAGAAGTTTAAAGGGGTCATATGATGCGATTTCAAGTTTTCCTTTCTCTTTGGAGTGTTGCAAGCTCTTGGTGCATAAAGAAGATCTGTAAAGAGAGGCGGGGCATAGAGGACCTACAATAATGTACAGTATTTGAAAAATAATGTGTTTTTTGAACATTAAAGCATGTCAACATATTCGGTTACACCAAATACACAAAATAATTATCTTTAAAACAGCATCATATGACCCCTTTAAGTATGAACAAAAAATTCAGGAAGCTAAATTAGCTCAGGAGGCAGAACGTTTAAGACTGATTGGCGAGGGAAAAATAGGTAGTATTAGTGCTGATTCCTCGGGTGAGCAGTTGGTCGCGAACACCGCTTTGAACATTGCGAATATGACCAAGTTATTGCCTAGGTTTAACGAAAAAAATCTTGACGCTTTCTTTTCTTTGTTTGAAAGTGTTGCCGATGATCGAGGTTGGAATGATGCCGAACGTACTCTTTTATTACAAAGCGTTTTGGAGGGTAAAGCTCAAGAAACATTTTTCACTCTTACCAGCAGATCGAAGGGATTATAAGATCGTTAAGGACGCAGTTTTAAAAGCTTATGAACTTGTCCCTGAAGCTTACCGTCGCCGGTTTAGGGGATGGAGAAAGGGAGAGAGACAAACTTATGTGGAAGTTGCGCGAGAGCTCACAAGTCACTTTAATCGTTGGTGTGTTTCGTTAGGAGTAGATTCTTTTGAGAGTCTTTGTGACTTGGTGATTTTGGAGCAGTTCAGAAATATTATTCCTGAACGGATTGTGATATACACAAACGAACAAAAGGTGAGAACAGCGGCTGAAGCGGCGGTTGTAGCTGACAAATTTGTGTTGATTCATAAAAATTCCAACGGTTATCAAAAAGAGTGCAACTCTGAAAATCTAGACCAACCGATGTCAAAGGTAGAGTATAGGCCTAATAGGAAAATGGATCCAAATTCCTCTTATAGGTACTGCCTGGAAAAGGGTCACTGGAAAAAATAATGTGCAGTGTTGAAAGGCAAGTATAAGTCCATTATTAAACCTGTTGGACTTGCGTCAGGTTATACTTTTGTTGTGCATTGGGGGAATCCCTGTCGGAGTGAAAAATCAAAATGTAGATGAGTACGTGGGGTATCCGGCAGATTATGGTCCTTTTATTACTACGGGATCTGTTTCTTTACTTGGCTGTCCTGTTAAAGTACCTGTCGGGATTTTGCGCGATACGGGGTCTTCAGAATCCTTTATTTTGGACTCAAAATTGAATTTTTCTTCTGTATCTAGTACAGGGAATAGGGTTCTGATCCAAGGAATTGGGTTGGAAGTGTTCTCTGCTCCTTTGCATAAAATTCAGTTGGAGTCTGAACTTGTGCATGGAGAAGTTGAGATTGCTTTACGACCTTCGTTACCGTTAGGCGTGGATTTAATTTTAGGAAATAATTTAGCCAGAAACCGCGTGTGGCGGGCTGTTGTATCTCCTGTTGTGAAAACATCTCCAACTTTGTCTGCAGAGGGGGATAAGAGCGTCCCAAGATTTTCCTGATGTTTTCGTCTCCGGGCTCAGGGAATAGACGCTGGGTTGACAACGCTGTTCGAGGCTGTTAAGTCCAATGATGAAATTGAAAGCGTGGCTTCTGGTTATTTTCTGAATAATGGCGTTTTAGTTCGTAAATGGACGCCTTGTAACGATCGTGTTGTGGGTGAACCCATATTTCAAATTGTGATTCCAGAAGGGTTGCGTGATTTGCTGTTGAAAACAGCTCACGGTGATATAGCTGGGCATTTAGGGGTAAAGAAAACCTACAATAGCATAATGCGCTATTTTTTTTTTTTTGGCCTCATTTTAAAAGAGATGTGTCGAGCTTTATAAAGACGGTGCCACACTTGTCAACTGGTAGGTAAACCTAATGAAGTCTTGGCGCCGGTGCCGTTGTATCCCATTCCTGCTGTGAGTAATCCTTTTGAATATCTGACTATTGATTGTGTTGGCCCCTTAAGTCCGTCTAAAGCGGGTTCTATCTATATTTTAACTGTCATGTGTCAGACGACTCATTATCCTGCTGCGTATCCTTTGCGAACGATCTCCATGAAGTCGGTGGTAAAAGCCTTGTCCCAGTTTATTTCAATTTTTGGTATTCCAAAAATTATTCAAACTGATAGAGGAACTAACTTCACTTCTCGGATGTTTGCTCAAGTTTTACAACAACTGCGGGTGAATCATCATAAAAGCAGTCCGTATCATCCTGAGAGCCAGGGAGCTCTCGAACGTTTTCATCAGAGCTTAAAGCAGTTATTGAGAGCATATTGTAACGAACTGAATAAAGACTGGGAAGAGGGACTCCCGTGGTTGATGCTAGCAGCACGCGAAGTTGTTCAAGAGAGTCTTGGTTTCAGTCCTAACGATTTGGTGTTCGGTCATAAGCTAAGAGGGCCCTTGTCTCTTTTGATGGACAACGTGACCGAGCCGGAAATTCCTGAAAATCTTTTGGATTATGTAAATGGATTTCGACGTAGGTTATATTTGGTAGGCAAACTGGCTCCTGAAAATTTAGAGAAAGCACAGTTGAAAATGAAGACCTGGTTTGATCGTCGGTCCGAACGCCGAGAATTTAGTCCCGGAGATCAAGTTTTAATTTTACTTCCTGTTACTGGGTCATCCTTTTTAACAAGGTTTGCAGGGCCTTACAGTATAATTAAACGGGTATCTGAACAAAATTATATTGTTTCAACCCCGGACAGGAGAAAAGCTTCCCAACTGTGTCACGTGAATTTGTTGAAGCCATATTTCTGTCGTGTACGTGAAAACGCTGTCCCAGGTGCTGAAGTAAAGCCTGTGGTGTTAGTTACTGAGGTGAGTAATTCAGGTGTGAAATTTGATTGTACTGAGGGCGAGAGCGTTCCGTCTGCTTGTATTGTTCAACCTCGACTTTGTAACTCTGAACAATTGACTAAACTGGACGTCATGTTTGAGCATTTGCCCGAAGAACATAGTGACCAATTGATTGGTTTTATATCCGAATTCTCGCCACTTTTCTCTAATACTCCCTCATGTACTAACTTAATATATCATGATATCGATGTTGGAGATTCTTTGCCCATTCGACAGAGGTTTTATCGTGTTTCTCCTGAAAAGCAGAAGTTTTTAAAAGCTGAGGTTGAGTATCTTTTAAATACTGGGTTTGCGCAACCCTCATATTCAAGTTGGGCGTCACCGTGCATTCTGGTTAAAAACCCCGATATTACGTACAGATTTTGTACTGATTATAGAAAGTTAAATAGTGTGACGAAGCCTGACTCTTTTCCACTTCCACGGGTGGAGGATTGCATAGATTCTGTAGGCTCAGCAAAGTTTGTAACTAAGATTGCTTTGTGGGTTGCGTGCCTTGTTTACTCGTCTTGTAGAAGCCAAGTTGACTATCAATTTAGCGAAGTGTGAATTCGTGAGAGCTACCGTAACTTACTTGGGTAAAGTAGTGGGACAGGGGGAGGTTCGTCCAGTACGGGAGAAGGTGCGTGCTGTTGATGGTTTCCCCGCTCCTACTACTAAAAAGGAGTTTATGAGATTTTTGGGGATGATAGGATATTATCGCAGTTTTTGCGCAAATTTCTCAAATGTAGTTGCGCCGCTTACTGATTTATTGAAGGCCAAACGTAAGTTTGAGTGGTCTTCAAATTGTCAGCGGGCGTTTGAAAATGCGAAACTTCTGCTGAGCACTGTTCCTGTCCTAGTTGCGCCCCGGTGGGATCGAGTGTTTCAGATCCAAGTAGATGCAAGCCGGGTGGGTGCAGGAGCGGTATTATTACAAAAAGATGACAATGGAGTTGATCGGCCAGTTAGTTTCTTTTCTAAGAAGTTTAACTCGTATCAACTAAATTACTCTACGATTGAGAAAGAAACGTTGACTTTGGTGTGAGCGTTGCAGCACTTCGATGTGTATGGGTGGTTCAGTGCCTATAGTTGTATTTTCAGATCACAATCCGCTCACGTTTTTACAATCTTTGCGAAGTCCTAATCAGCGACTTATCCATTGGGCTCTATTATTACAGCCGTACAGTTTAGATATTCGCCATATTCGAGGGCAGGATAATGTTATGGCGGATGCCTTGTCCCGTTCTCCGGTTGATGAGTAAAACGAACTGTTGTAAGTGTTGGTTGCCCTTGACCTTGG